CCTGAGCTAGATATATTCTCTTCTATTAGATTCTGGAGTAATAGGTTTTGCAGATAGCCGGGCCCCGAGCCATGTGGGACTTTAAAAGTGTCAGCCAGCACCTTGAATTACACTTAGAAACAAGCAACCAAATCTAAAAAGAAATTCATGTTCTTCAGATCAAGGAAAAGAAACTCCACAACATCCTTTCCATTTTCTTTCTTTTAGTTTACCAACCACTGTGATGTAAGTCAAAAGAACATGAGCGTCAACAAAATAACATTTAATACGGGAAATAACTTACCATAGAGGAAGCCACTATAACCACATCAGATGAACCATTATTTGCATGTTAAGCACCAAATCACCAATAATTAGCTGAAGTTACCAATTTCTTCTTGAAAAGAAGTATAGGTCTCCAACAGACGTGAAATAATAATTTTGGTTCAATTAAATTGATTTTAAATCTATAGAAATGTTCTATCTAAAAGACAAAATAATCTCCATTAACACTTCAGTTGCTTATTCCATGCTTCCACCTACTCTAGAAAACCTAATTTAGTATATTCTAAAACCTATTTATAGTTATTATTGGCTTCTTATTTTATAAAGAATATATTACATCCTTTAATACCAAATCGGGCTGTAGAACTTTTAGGGCTGCTGACATTAAAAGGTGTTTTAACCAGCAATGTTGCCACTCTGTAGTGTTTGGCAAGATATGCTTATGTTGTAAATCCACACACAACCAAAAAAAAAAAAAAGTCACGTAGCCCCATTAATTAACATAACACTCTATATTCCAGCCAGGTTCTCCAAAGATTCTCCTTGTTATTTTCAAATATGGGTTCTCCCATAATGTAAATTTAGCACAGTCTTAAAGTTCAGATCAGAGCAGCTGTGCTTTTACACACCACCATCACTCCCTGGGAGCTAATCGAGTGGGAAAGGGAATCCCAGTTTTGCCAAGATAGTCGGATCCAGCTTAGAAGGGCTGACAAATAATGCCACTTCCAAGTAGGCCCATGGAGGCAAATTTCCGGTGGGCAGACCTTGCAGGTCATTAACCCAAAAAAGAAGATACGCCCGATATAACCGAAGTCTGGAAAATAAAAAACACCTCCTGTCCCTGACAGCTGAAGCTTCCTCAATGAATTCCAAGAATATACAGAACAATCTGTATGGTATAAATTACTTGCAGCAGAACACTGATTTTAAGACGTGTGAAATGAATTATCCCAAATAGTGGGTTTAAGTTAGGTCCACCTATCCAAGTCTCTTGCTCTATCTAACAGCAGTTTATTTAAGTTCAGTGTAATCCCCTGAGATGTATGCCCGGATATGCTCATCCCAAGATAAGTTACAGTCTTCAGGCATCAAGTGAACAATCCCCTGAAATGAAGAGGCATCGATTCAGTTGCTTAACACATCTTTAAAAGGAAACGCTTTCTTCCATTTGGGGAGTATTATTTCTGGAGGGGCTGCCACTGCCAGGGTGAACTTTGGCTGCAGGTTTGTTCCCTCCTCGAACAGACGTCATAAAGCGAAGCTCTGATGGAATCCAGAATATTTTTAACAGCATCCGAGCTGCCTTGGGATAAACCAGCAGCAGATGGGAGGGGTGTTCGGTTTGGGTTCTGTGCCTCTCCAGGCACCTTTGCCAAATGGCCTGCCCCGTTTGGTGCTAAGGTTGTTCTGCAACTCTGCACAGGGGCCCATTTATAAAGGCAGACCTGTCACATGCCCAAGCCAGTCTACCTCACGTGTCAGGCACTGCCAGGCAATGTTGCCTAGCAACCTGGCTCATTCCCTGAGAAGCTGACATCAGCCTTGGCATGGGAGGACTGGGAAGGGGAGGGAAGGGTGGCTGGCTGGCATTGACACCTCTGAAGGAAAGGGAATGATCCTATTCCCCAAAGTGGGCCCTTACCAGTTTTAAAAAAAAAAATCAAATTAAATGCACAGCGTGTGGGTAGAAAGGATGCATCCTCTGCCCCAAAGAGTGTACAGTTACTCTTAGGTCAATGCACAGTCCACTTGGCTGGCTTCAGTGCTTTATTTATTTATCTGTAAATGTTTGATTACAAAAAGAAGAAAAAAAATACATAAAAGTGGCTTAACAAAAAAGTGACAAAATAAAACAAAGAGAAAAGAAGTGTTAACATATTATAACAATAAACAATTTCAATTTTATATATACTTATCTAATGCAAATATTATTCAAGTACATATATATTTCTAATACATGTATATGACTATCATATAAATATTTTTTAATCTACTGTACTTTGTATCAATGAGTCCCCTATTTCATTATACTTGTCCACACAAAGTCTACGTCTGTAGGCAATCCGCTCATAGGTGGCGAGTGCAACCAGGTCTTCAATCCATTGAGTGACTGGGGCCATACATTTATCTTTCCAATGCTGCAATATCAGTCTTCTGGCCACAGTAACGGCATGGAGAATCCATTTACATTGTCCAGATGTCAGATTCCATGCACGAGGTATAGAGTTCAAGAGAATATTATCCTCTGAGAATTTTAGCCTTTGTCGCACATGGCTGGTTTCAATCCTGATTCTCCTGTTAGAAAGATTTACTCTCCTCTCCCTCCAGATCCATCCCTGGTGTTCCACAAAATCCAGCTCATTAACTCTCCTTCTGAAATCTTGCAGGCTTCTTCACTAGAGCCACTTCTAATCTCCAGGTCATTTTAATAGCAATTGCCACAAAAACAAACTTATGCTCAAACTATCAAAGCCTCTTTTGGACAGACCTTCTGTATCTCCTCTGAAACAGCAGGCTTGATCATCGCAGCGGCAGCTATTTTGCTGCAGATTTCCTTTAAGTCTGAAAATAAATGTAAAAGTTAAAGGTGTTATTCTTCTGTTAAAAAAAAAGTATGTAAAAGCCCCTGAACCTGTTTATTTAAAACTTGGCAGACCTCATCCCCTCATATGGGACTGCTTTTCCTGCACTTTTCACCCAGTACAAATCCAAGAGAGTACAGATTGTAGCTAATTTCCAGGGACAGTCAATAGGGTGCATTTGGATTTTGAATCAAAATTTGTATTCAGGCTCTAAGTTGTTAGTGAGCATGGAAATTGACCCCAGTGAATTGGGCTGTTTTGGAATCCTTACATCAGGATGCAAACCAGGTCTTAGTTTACAAAATATGTGATTCTTGACTAAGTTTGGAGAATTAAGTTTTGCAAGGCTAGTATGCAAGTGATTATAGGATTTTTTTTGGGGGGGGGTGCCTCCAAGTCAGCTTTTTGACTCCTGACGACTGCCTGGACAAGTCCCTGCAGTTTTCTTTCTATCCCGTGCGTCCACCTATTCTTTTGGGGGGGTGGGGGAAGGACGCTTCAAGTCAATTTGATTCCTGGCAATTGCCTGGACTAGGCCCTGCAGTTTTCTCAGCAACATTTTTGGAAGTGGTTTGCCATTTCCCTTTTCCTAGGGCTGAGAGTGACTGGCCCAAGGTCACCCAGCCGGCTTCGTGCCTCAGGCAAGACTAGAACTGGAATGGACTAAAACCTCAGGCAGGACTAGAATGGCCTCCCAGCTTCTAGCCTTGTGCCTTAACCACTACACCAAAACAAATTGACTCCGCAGGGGCTTTCCAGGCAGTTGCCAGGAGTCATGACTGACCTGAAGGCTCCTCTTCCTCCTCCTCCTCCTCCTCATCATCATCATAAAAAATAGGATAGGATAGGCTTTTTTGCCCCAGGATTCTCAGGGGGAAGCCATGGTTTCAAATCTCCTTGGTGACTGACTGTTAATTCTGCACGGAAGGGGGTGGACTGTTCTATACGGTGAATTTCTCTGAGAAAAAAAGTTTGGGTGAAGACTTAGGACAGGATCCCTGGAAAGGATGAGTTGCCTGGGAGTCTCAGTTTCCACGGCAACCAAGAAAAAGGCCAGGCAAGCCCACTGAATTGCAAATCCAGTTAAAGAGAGATTGAATGTTTGTGTTTCCATGTGGGTAAGGGGGGGCCCTTCGGCATGACCCCTTAATCTGACCTTTCTAGAACCTCAAGTGGATCGGGCACTGACTTGATCCACTGGGACCCCCCTTCTGAATTTTGCATTAGGAAAATGCAGAAAATGAAGGTGCTTGTTAAAAGAAGTCTGTTGGCTTATGGATACGTTTGCTGCATTTCCATGCTTTGCTCTAGATTAATGGTACGGCTTTTGGGGAGGATATTGCACAGTGTGGAATCTTCTGGCAATTAAGGAAGAGGTGTGTATTGAAAGGAAGCCCTAGAAAGTGAAGGTGACAAGTGTTAACTCCTGAATGGTTTGCCTCTAAGCTCCTCATAAGCAGAGGCTTGTCTGTCTGCCCCTCCTTTTCTTAGTTACTCAGTCAAAAGCAGTACAAATTAGAAGAACATAGGAGGGCTCTGTTGAAGCAAACCAGAGATTTGTCTACTCAATACCCTGATTCCCACAAAGGCTTTGAAAGGGCAGGCAGTGGCAACCTTCCCTTCACCATTCTTGGCCCCTAACAGCTGATAAATAGGGAAGTTCCATATAGCTGTCATAGCTAGTTGCAATTGCTAAGTTAGTCTACCTGGATCCATGCACACTTGCAAAGAGAGAAGGAATGAGTACTAAAATGGCCAGTCATCTTTTGCCCAAAATCTGGAATGGTTTCCTAAGAACTGGCCCCTTTGTTGCCTGAGTGGGTCTCTCTTAGAAAATTGTTCTAGCCCAAAAGCCCCACCATCACTACCTTGCATGGTACTGCATGTTCAGCTCATCTATCAGGCAGAGGGAGACAGAGGGTCAGAAACAGAATGAAATTGTCAAGTAGACTCTTATTTTTAATCTTGAATTGGGGGCCCCAGTAGCTGGCAAGAAGAGAAAGCTGGCACAGTGAACAATAAAGCATGATCCAGTGATAGTATTTTATACTATTAAGTTTTTTAGATTGTCTCCAGGTATGTCTCCACCTCAAAAAGGTGGTCTGCTTTGAAGGTTTCTAAGATCTAATGGGGTTTTCTTCCTTCTGTTAGATACTGTTTCCAGTAAGCTCCAGAACAACAACATTTATACCATTGCCAAGCGAAATGTGGAAGGCCAGGACATGCTGTACCAGTCTCTGAAGCTTACCAATGGCATCTGGATACTGGCCGAACTACGCATTCAGCCCGGCAACCCCAACTATACAGTAAGGCCCTGCTGCTGAGGCAGCAATGCAGAAGCAGCCCTGGCCTCTGGGCTCTCTTCTGGATCTCACCTTTCCTCTTTCTGTCTTAACTCACTGTTTCCTTGGGGAAACTGTCACTGAGCTGGTGCTCACAGCTTAAAAATAAGCCAATAGAAGAGAATATGTGTAGCTCAGGGCTGAACTGTGGAGTCCTTGGGGTTCTCTGAGCTTGGCTGTTTTCTTGCAAACATTTCATTACCCGGCTAGGTAACATCTTCAGTGCTAGAAGGGAGTGGGGTTTGCTCTCTGTTTGTATACAGTAGTTTGCCCTGTCAGTGGTAGTGGGGGTGTGGTTTTTAAAAGAGAACCCCAAGGACTCCATAGTTAAAAATAAGCTCCAAGTACTCAAGAAGAAATCCAGTTAAATATCATAATCACATTTCAAAAATTATCACTTTGAAAAATTTGGAGGACAAATGAAAATACAAAACCTGTCACCTGATCAAAGAAAGTGTGGATGAATCATCTGTTTAATCCACTGACAGGCAGTTTTAGGCCTGCCTAGTGTGTATATCTCCAACACCCATCTTTCTTATCATTGGCATGTTGGCAAGGATTGATTAGACTTGGAATTCACTACACCTGGTAGGCACCAAGTCCCTACCTCTCATTTATTCCTTGAAAAGATTGAATCCTTATATCAAAGAGAAAAATTGGCTGGTTTCACCTATAACCCTAAAGCCAGGTTAATGAAGCACAGTTGTGCTGGCAGAACATGCTGTGACCAGACAAAGACGCTATTTTATTGTTGAACGTGATGGTCTGACTCAGATAACATCAACCACAAAGTATACAGAGGTCTAGAGTGTTGGGCAAGCCTACCTGGTCAGTGTTTTACAAAAAAAAAAAATCTACATTCTGGTTAGTTATGCCAAACATGGTATTGAAGTGATTTGGAACAATTTTCATGCAGTTTTTAGCCCTGCCTCCCAACCATCCACCATCCCCTGCTGTTCTGCACAGGGACCCTTGAAATAATTTGCCTTCCCTACTTTTCTCCAACAGCTGTCTCTGAAGTGCCGAGCTCCTGAAGTGTCCCAGTACGTCTACCAGGTCTACGATGCCATTTTGAAAAACTGATCTGTCAGACCGCTACTGCCAGCACCTCACCACATGGGGAATGGGAACGGGGCTAACTCCGCACCTCCTGCCACCGCCTGCGTGTTGGTGTAGGCCAAGAACATTCCTTCCCTCGGTATGGGAAAAGCAGCTCTGTGTTGTGTCTGAGATCTCAGCTCCAGATGCTGAGGCTAAACCAAGGTAGCAAGTAGTGTCCACGTGCCGGTAACAGTAGGGGATGTTGCATTTGATACTTTTAGCATCTGTGAGAATTTTGTAACCACTCCGCATCAGCTGTTTTTGCAGTCCTGTGCCATGTCTGTCTTGTTTGTTCCTGTGGCTTCTTCATCTCGTGCCAATGCTTTGCATTTTCTAAACCACTGTAGGCCTCTGGTTGATATTTTGTAATATGCTTCCTCATTTTAATAAATGCACATGCACACACGGTCTCTGCCCAGCCAGAGGCATCTGAGAGAAAACACACACACTGCACTTTATTATTCTTTTGTATTTGTGTACTGCTGATTAATTTTTGTAATGAACCAGCTGTCTACAACAAGCAGGAATAAAGGAGGGGCATCGAAACAAGACTAGTTGTACAACTGTTATAAGGAAAACCATGCTATGCTGGCTTATTGATTAACCATGGAAAATTCCATTACCTGGTACGAATTGTAGCTTGTTATTATTTAAGGCCCCTCCTTGCCTGCCCTCCCCACAGACTGAAAATCCCACCAGTTACCAAACCTCAATCCTGCGGACAACTGAGGGTTTGCAGCTGAAGAGACAATCTGTTGGCGTTTGAGGTCTCAGGGTTGAAAATCGAGGGGCAATCCCTCTGCTGCCTCTGCATGCATCTGTGTGCATCACAGCTCTATACTGTTTTCTCTTTTCATGTGCTGCCGATTGAACAGCAGGTTTTGATTGCTTCGTCCATGTGTAGTGTCATTAAAAAAAACATGGCAGCCAAGACAGTAGCTTTCACAAATAAAGAGGAAGGGCAGCAAGGCAGGGAAAAGAAAAAAGGCAGCAAAAACTGCTGTCTGGTTAAACTGGCTGTGGGCAGTTTAATCCACTTGCCATTTCCTCTTGACCTTGGTCTCAGTCTCACTGTGCAAACTCCTGCTGGGCCCTTCTTTGCGATCTCGGTACTGGAATCTCCCTGGAAACCTAAAACAGCTATTTCTGCTGCCACCAGATAAATGTGCCAGGTTCAAGCCATATCCCAGTGTGGCTGAAACGAGCTATCAGCTCCAGCCATCCTCACTCCACTAAAATATAACCTTTAGCAAGGATCTGTGCCCTGTTATTTCTTCAAGGTTGAGAAACATTTTCTTGGGTGAGCCTGGAACAGAGCTCTTACCTGGTCTCACCCTTGGCATCTTAACACAGTCTCTGTTAAGGCAAGATAGGATAGTCTTTTCCCTCCATGTCAGCTGCTTCCTGGCTTGTCTGCCTTTTTCTTCTATGCCCCCATCTACATTGCCCCCTTTCTTATTGCTGCTTTATCTCCCACCCTATTTGAGAGAACAGAGGACTGTGATGTCTAGGAGATCCTCTGAGCAAATGCAGCATTGCAATAATGCAGACTATTCCCAGTGGACTTCAGTTTTCTCCACCCACCCCTGCGCAAAGAGCACATATAAACTTTCCCTCTTCAAGAAGCCAGTCTTTGAGAAAGGAGGAGGAGGAGGAGGAGAGATTTAGAGCAAATCTGGCAGGTCCAGTGGGCTGCTGTATTGCCTCTGAATCTTGGATATAGAACCAGGCCAAGCTATATTCAGTAGGTTTGGTGTGGAAGTCTTTTCTTAATTGGAACTGAACTGAAAGAATTAGTCATCTGTGAACGTAACAGGCAGGTCACTAGAACTTACTCTTTAAGTC